AGGAACTAGTCCTTGGAGAAAGACATCATGCTTGGTAAAGTAGAGGGTCGGCGAAGAAGAGGAAGACCCCTAACAATGAGATGGGTTGGCACAGAGGCAGCAGTAATGGACTGAAGAGTAACAATGATTGTGAGGATGACAGGATCAGGCCGCATTTCATTCTGTTGTGCACGGGGATGCTGTGAGTAGGAAAGGACTCGAAGGCATCTAACAATGATTATGTCACAGTGATCAAGGAACCCTGCTTTTGCTTTTTATTTGTTTCCATGTGTAAATTCAATGACCTGATCTGTTGATGTTGTTGTGCTTGTTAAGTGCTGAAGAGTCAGTTCTGACTCATAATGATCCTGTCTAAGGTTTCTGAGGAGTGGTGGCTGGTGGGCTTCAATTGTCGACTTGTGGTTAGCAATCCAATGCTTATCCTACAGCATCACAACAGGACTCTGTGACCTGATATTTAAGCCCTCCCAAATTTAACTCTTTATGGAGTCCTGGTGTGGCGCTGTGGGTTAATGCGCCAGACTGCAAAGCTGTTTTAACTGTAAGGTCCGCGGTTCAAGCTCACCAGCTGCTTCTTGGAAACCCTATACAGGGTCGCTATGGGTCCAAACTGACTCAATGGCACTTAACAACAACAGCAAAATTTAACTGTGGAGCCCTGGTGTGGTGCTGTAGGAGAAACACTGAGATGCTAAACACAAAGGTCAGTAGCTCCTCAGAAACCTTTTACAGGGTCACGATGAGTTAGAACTGACTCAACTGCTCTAAACAACAAAACCAAATCTAACTCCATCCTTTGCAAATGGTTTGTGATCGGCTACTAATTTACAGGTTGGCAGTCCAAAACCACCTTCTGTGGCTCCACAGAAGGAAAGCCTGATTATCTGTTCCAAGAAAACCCTGGCTTTCACACACATGGTGTTGTCATGAATTGGAACCAACTGGATGGCAAGAGTAAATCTAACTCCGGGCTGACTTTCCTGTGTTATTCTCCAGTCCCTGACCCTGAAGCCAGGAGACAGTTATCATTCCTTAATCAGTCCTCACATTTTCTGGAATTTCTGTCTCTCAATCTTTACCCATTGACCCCTACTCAATTTTAAAGCTTGAATTAACCTTTCTTGAACCCTCTTCAGCTTAAAATAGAATCATTCTCTCAGATTCTCACAAAGCTTTGCCTATTCTTTTTTTCTTTCTTTCTTTTTTAAAACAGGTGTCCTTGTGTGGCACTGTGGGTTAATGCGCTGGACTGCATAGTCAGTTTGAATTGTAAGGTAGGTGGTTCAAGCTCACCACTGCTCCTTGAAAACCCTATACAGGGTTGCTATGGGTTGGAACTGACACAATGGCACTTAACAACAATAACATTCTTTTCGTCGTGAGGTAGTATAGCTCTGGTAGCATAGTGGTTACGAATCGGGCTGTGAATCACAAGGTCAGCAGTTCGAAACTACCAGCTGCTCTGCGGGAGAAAGATGAGGCTTTCTGCTTCCATAAAGATTTACAGCCTCGGAAACCCTGTTCAGGGTCGCTATGGGTCAGAACCGACTCGACGGCACTTCACAACAACAGTATAACCTTGGAGACATCTGGTGGTACAAATGGTGAATACAGGCATTGCTAACTGAAAGGCTGTTGGTTCGAGCCCAACCTGAGGTGCCTCGGAACAAAGTCCTATTAATCTACTTCAGAAAAATTCATCCTGAAAACCCTATGGAGCATAGTTCTACCCTGAACTGGCACGAGTCAGGATCGATTAAACGGCAACTGTTTTAGCGGACGAATGTAAATGGGAAACACAGGAAGAAGTGGGAATATGTTACTGTTAACATTGTGAGGCCCACAGCCAATGTCATGCAACAAAATGTGTATGAATTATTGAATGGAAAACTGATTTGCTCTATAAGCTTGCACTCAAATCCCAATAAAAAAATTTAAAAATATATTTCTCTAGGAAAAAAACATAAGGAACAGAGCATATCTGTTGGTAAGAAAAAATTAGCACGACATACTTGTTGTCGTCATGTCCCGTGGAGTCGGTTCCAACTCATAGTGACCCTGTACAGGGTTTTTAAGGATGTAAATCTTTATGGGATCAGAAAGCCTCATATTTCCCCCATGGAACAGCTGGTAGTTTCAAACTGCTGACTGTGAGATTAGCAGCCTGATTCATAACCACTATGCTACCACAGCTCCTTTACCAACATGTGGAAAAATCTGGTTATAATAGATATTGTCTGGATCTACTTATATTAAAAAACATACCTATATGTTAAATGTCTAGATTAAAAGATCACACAAAAAGCTGATTTTGGTGTGAAGGTTGATTTTTCATTTTGCTTCATTGTATTTTTTCCAGTTTTCTAAACATCTTTTCCCAGCTATCATTATGCATTTATCTCTGTGCTCTCTCACACATAGCATACCATTTGGCATATAATATTTCTAAATAAATGTGTATTTACCTAGGGTGGTGGTTGTTGTGTGCTGTTGAGTTGGTTCTGACTCATAGCCACCTTATTTAGGGTTTCCAAGGTTGCAAATCTTTACGGGAGCAGAAAGCCTCATCTGTCTCCCGTGAAGCAGCTGGTAGATTCTAACTGCTGATCTTGCAGTTAGCCGCTTACTTCATAACCCACTAAGGTACCAGGCCTCCTTATACTTACCTATATGAAGGAATATTGATGATCACAAAGCAGAGAAGGTAATAAAAAATTCAATCAATTTAATCAAAAGTAGAGTAAGCATTGGACTGCGAACTACAAAGGCGTCCTGATCTGGCACTGTAAGATAATGCACTGGATGGCAGGGTCGGTTTGAACAGCAAGGTTTGCGCTTCAAACTCACCAGCCGCTCCTCAGAAACCCTTCACAGGGTGGTTAGGAGTTGGAATTGACTCGAATGGCACTTGACAACAAGCTAATCATAAGGTTGGTAGTTCAAACCCACTAGCCACTCCTCAGAAACCCTATACATGGTCACTAGGAGTGGGAGTCGACTTGATGGCACTTAACACCAATAACACCAAAAGGCAAATTAGTAAAAGTCATAAAAGATACTACGACATCTTTTATATCAAATGTTTGATCTTGAAGCCCTGCAAAGCAGCATGACTTCAACTGCTGAGTGGTTTACATGAGGTTCTATATTGGTTTACTCGAGGCTTTAAGAATTGGTTCACTAGTGGCTTTAAAAATGTGTGGATAATAAGTGTTGTTGTTTTTTTTAATAATCAAGACTGTTAAAGTAAAATGAAGGTGAAGGTCATGAATCAAGTCCTGTTGTTGTTAAGTGCCATTGAGTCAATTCTGACCCACAGCAGTCCTGTATAGGGTTTCCAAAAAGCAGCTGGCGAGCTTGAACTACCGACCTTGCAGTTCAAATGACTTTGCAGTATGACACATTAGCTCACAGTGCCACACCAGGACTCCTAGAATGTTCTTAAAACTTTAAATAAGCATTGATTATTCTGAATCTTATTATTATATTATTACAATTTTAAAGCTTGTAGGCATCACAATGTGCTTTAAAAAAAAAAAGGTGTGCTTTCTGTTAAGTTTAATCTATTGCTTTTCACATCCCTCAACGTCCCTCCCCCGCCCCAGAAAAAACAAACAAACTCACCGCACTCTCTAAGTGTCCCTTTATGTTCAAAAGAATACAAAACAATCACCCTCCAGTCTAGAGACTTTAACAGAACGAAGTACACCTTTCCCATAGGGTTTCCATGGTGTGATCGTTACAGAAGGGAACCTTGGGGGTGTAGTGGTTAAGTGCTGTACTGCTAGCCAAAAGGTCCGTGGTTCAACTTCACCAAAGCTGCGTGGAAGAAAGATGTGGCAGTCTACTTCTGTAAAGATTTGCAGCTTGGAAACCCTATGGAGGCCGTTCTACTTTGTCTTATCCGGTGCCTGTGAGTAGGAAAAGGAGCCCTAGAGAAGAAGTGGGTCAAGCATTGGACTACTAACCGGAAGGTCGTTTGTTTAAACCCACCAGCCACTCTTGGGGAGAAAGGTGAGACTGCCTGCTCCTGTAAAGATTTATACTTTCTCAGAAACCCCCTAAGAAGCAGGTCTACTTGTCACTATGAGTCCGAATCTACTCCAAGGCAGTGGGTTTGGTCTGATTGGGTTTTGGGTGCCACAGAGTGTCCACGGGAGGAGGAAGCCACTCTCCAATGCCTTCGGATCAGAGAGGTTAGGCTGGCTTCCTGGCTAGGGCTTTTACCAACGACTCACCACTTACCCTGCACCCCAGACACCAGCAGGTGTCTCTCTGTCCCTGTTTGTGCTACACCTTCCCGGAGTTTCTGAACAATCCAGTCCAGAGATACTTGAAACCTCACCATTGAAGCCGATCACTGCCTCAAGCTCCAGCTCGGCCACCTCGGCCTCGGGCAAAGTTTGGGTATCCATCACCAGAAGATTCCTCTCACATTCCTCTCTGTCTCCTTGCTAGTGCAGCGTCTTCCGGGCGTTATGGTAACGGAGGTGCGCATGCGCACCAGATCAACGCTCTTGCAGAAACCGAACTAGGGGAGGTTGAGTTCCTTTCCCTTCATTCAAATGAAGGGCTACTTTCCCCGCTCATATTTCTCTGGAAATTAAGGAGGGATTAAATATACAGAATTGACACTCCTTCCCTCCACTTATAGCGTCTGTGACATTCTCGATAACTATATAATCAAGCATCTAATGAGATTTGTTTTTTCTTTATAATCCAATTTAGAGGATCGCTCTGATGGAAAAACCAAAAATATCAAATCCATTGCCGTCGAGTCGATTCTGGCTCAGTGACACTAAAGGACAGAGTAGAACTGCCCCAGAGGATTTCCAATGCTGTCTGTCTTTATGGAAGCCATTTGTCTTTCTCCAGCTTAGAGACAGGTGGTGGGTTTGAAGCTGCCAAGCGCGTAACCACTGTCCCACCAGGACTCTTCAGATGGGAAGGCTGGCATAAAATAATACATAATTGATACTTCATTGGGCTCCTTGTTTGAAGCAGGACACATTTTTAAGTAACATGGTTAAGTGCTAGGTTGCTAACCAAAAAGTTCGCCATTCAAATCCACCTAGTAGCTTTGTGGGAGAAAAAGTCTGGGCAATTTGTTCCCTTAAAGATTGTGTTAAGTGCTGTCGAGTCGGCTCCGACTCAGAGCGACCCTGTATAAGGTTTCCAAAGAGTGGCTGGTGAGTTTGAACCTCAGACTTCGCAGTTCAAGCGCCACACCAGGACTCCAGCATAGGAAATCCTATGGGGAAATTGTTCTCTGTCCTATAGGGTCGCTAGGAGTCAGAAACGATGCCTCAACAGAAATCTTCAGGGGGTAACTCTACCTACCTTCCTAAGGGTAATGCTTAGATTCTGTTCAACTGCAATTTAATTGCACTGTTTGCGTTTCTTAATAGGCACAAATTGCTGCAACCTATCGTTACCTAGGGGAGCGCTTTGCTTTTTTTGGAGCAAGTGTTTCGGCCCAGTGTAGAGTGTTCATTCACTTGGCAAACTCAAGGCTACAGTTGCGCACGGGCCGTACCGCGGGGTATGAGCCGGGCGGGCCACCGTAGTCAGCTGCTCTGAGCAGGAAGTGTTCCAGGAGAGGGGGAGACTGCACCATGGCCCCGGACCCCTGGTGAGCCCCGGGTGAGGGCGACCGTCTGTGGGTGGTCCTTGCGGGTGACTAGGCTTCCTGGGAGCTGGCAATCGCTTGGCTTTGCGGCTGGAGGGCTCTCAGAATGAGGGGCGTGGCCCACGAGCACCCATAACTCTGCTGCTGAGAACTCCGTGGCATCCCGCCACCCTGGGTTCTGTAGGCTGTGCCCCCTGGGGATCTAGACACTTGTCGAATTTCTGGATGTTCTTTTAACCCTTCGGGGCTGCCTCTTGCATGGGGATTTCCTCCCATACGAATTGTGGAGCTGGCTGGTGCAGGCTTCACTGGACTCTGAAAGTGAAGTAGAAGTCATCTCTTTTGTGGACTGTCAGACCATTTAGTGAACTCCCTTATTTCACAGATGGAGAAACTAAGGTCTAGAATCCATCGTCCCCATGCAGTTGGGAATAGGACCTAAATCTTGCGAGTTTGTAGGGACCTGTGAGGGAAATCATGCACTTGTTTATAAGACGTTTTACGTAAACATCATGAAGACTTGTTTCAACAGCAAGTTCTTCAGTAAAACAATAGCTGATGAGGGTGAAGATAATTTATTTAATAACGAGGTAAAAGAAACTCTAATCCCAAAGAATATATCGTTGCAATATATTGGACTTGAATTTTTGCTTAATAATTAAAAACGTGTTATAGCTTTCTAAAGTTCTTATTAGCATATAAATTTATGTTGCTATTATAAATATAATTATTTAAGTTGCAGGCGGTCAGAATATTAGGAGAATGAATTCCAAGATAAAGGTGAAAGCTGCCCAATACCTAGATCGTTTGTGCCAATCTCTTCATTGATATAACATTGGTTTTAACAATGGCCCTATAGGATAAGCACTAGACCGCAAGGTCAGTTTGAACCGCAAGGTAGGCAGTTCAAACTCATCAGTTGCTCCTCGGAAACTACCCTATACAGGGTCATCTTGAGTCGGAACCTACTCGAAGGGACTTAATAACAACCAACATTCCCAGGGAGTCCTGGTGTGATGCTGTAGGATTAACACTGCATTGCTAACCCAAGGATTGGCGGTTCAAACCCATCAGCTGCTCATTGGAAACTCTATACAGAATTGCTATAAATCGGAACCAACTCGATGGCACTTAACAACAACATCCTTTCCGAGTAGAAAATTTTGACAGTAGTGAAAATTTGCAGAGAAGAAAATCAGTATTATCTTTAACTCTACCATTTGGAAATAGCTAGGATTGATTTATAGGAGCTTTGTGGGTTGCGCATTGGGCTGCTGTCTGCAAAGTCAGTGGTTCAAACCCACCAACTGCCTCATGGGAGCAAAATGAGGCTGTCTGCTCCCATTAAGATTTACAGTCTTGGAAATCCTACAGAGCAGTTGTACTCTGTCCTATAGGATTGCTTTGAGTTGGAATTGGCTTGATGGCAGTAGATTTCCTTTTTGTTTTTTTTCTCTCTCTCTCTCTCTCTCACTCACTCACACACACACAGTCCAAAACAGGGTGCATTTTTCTATATGACTGCGTGTTCTCTGAAAACAAGATTTTTATGTTATAATAATCATATGAATGACATAACTCATTTAACTATGGCCCTTTAAGGAGCTCTGGTAGCGTAGTAGTTGTAAATCAGGCTGCTAACCTCAGGGTCAGCAGTTCAAAACTACCAGCTGTTCTGTGGGAGAAAGATGAGACTTTCTGTGCCCGTAAATATTTCCAGCCTGTACAGGGTCGCTATGAGTAGGAACCGACTCCACGGCAAACAACAACAACAACTACAACAACCCTTTTTGTTAGATTAGGTAATTATTTAATTAAAAGAAAAAGATTGCAAAGGCTGTTCCATCTCCCTTCATTTCACACATGAAAACAAAAACTGGTTGCAACCCCATGTGTGTCAGAGTAGGACTTATTCCATAGGGTTTTCATTGGCTAATAATTGTAAGGGACAAAAAGCTAAATGCATTGCACCAAAATGTAGTAAAAAGTTAAATGTAAAAACAGAACCATGAAAGAACTAGAAGGAAGTAGAGATGAATGTACAGGCAGTTCCTGGATTATGCATGAGTTCTGTTCCTAAATCTTTCTTTAAGTCGAATTTGAACATAAGGTGGAACAGTTTTAGGTATGGTGAGAACCTAAGGTTTCTCTTAGTGTATAAGGAATAGTGTATCTTTTTATGCATAAAAAATATTTCTATGCATAAGAAATACGTCCAGGTATACTAAACCATCTTTAACATAATACAATAATAATATTTTGTTTTTATTTTTTCCCCCTTTTGAAATAACATTTAAAAAGAAAACTTTTTGTTGTGATTTGGATGAAAGTTCATAGAGTAAGTTTGTTTTCCACTTAACTCTTCATGGACACTTTGTTTCCTGACATTAATTGCAATCCCACAAGGTAACAACTATCTTCCCCATGTCCTCTTTCTGGGTTCCATTTATCCTTCTTTTCTGTCCCTTCCTGCCTTCTGAACTTTCTTCCTGGACAAACACAACCTTTTTATTCTCCTATGATTGATTGTTCTAAGGAGTATGTGTCTCTCAGGTGTTGTAGTTCATCTTATCGACCTGTTTGTGTTCTGGTGTGGTGTTGTGGGATAATGCACTGGACTGCAAACATGTTTGAACTGCAAGGTCGGTGGTTCAAGCTCACCAGCTGCTCTTGGGAAACCCTATGAAGGGTCATTATGGGTCAGAACTGACTCCACAGTACTTAGCAACAACAAGAAGCAAAGAATAAGGGTTTCGATTCCTTCACATCCTTGCTAAATTTGTTATTGCTGTTTTATTTTTTCAATCTCAACCATCCTAGTAGGAGTGAAATGGGATCTCATTTATGGTTTTGATTTGCATCTCTTTGATGGCTAATGACTTTGAGTTTCTTTTCATGTGTATGATGGCCTTTTGAATGTCCTTTTTGGTGAAACGTTCATTCAAGTCCTTTGTTCATATTTTGGTTGGATTATTAGTCTTTTGTTAAGTTTGGTCATTCTATATATACAATATTGGCTGTTAGATTCTTGACAGCTATATGACTTCCAAAGATACTCTCCTAATTAGTAGCTTGTCTTTCTACTTTTTTGGTGAAGTGTTTTGATGAACAAAAGTTTCTGTAAGTTTTATGAGATACCATTTCTTTATTTTGTCTTTGCTATGTGTGCATTTGTTATTATATTGCATAATCCATTGTTAAAAAGGCGTATTCCTCTGCATTTTCTTCCAAGAATATTATGGTTTTACTTTTTACATTGAGGTGTGTAAACTATTTTGAATTTGTTTTTTTTTTTTTTATAACATGTGTGGCATGGATCCTGTGTCATTTTTCTATATGTGGAAATCCAATTTTCCCAACACCATTTATTGAAGAGACAGTTCTTTCCTCATCAAATGGACTTGTCAAAAATCAGTTGATCATAGATATAAGGATTTGTTTCTGAACTCTCAATTCTATTTCATTGGCCTGTGTGTCTACTGTTATACCAGTACCAAGTTGATTAGTGTAGTTGTTTAATCTGTTTTGAAATCAAAATGTGGGAATCCTGCTTTATTCTTCTCTTTCATTGCCCTCCCCAACACCCAAAGTAAACCCCCCACCCCAGCCCCATTGTGGTTACCTTATATTCCATTAATTCTTCCCTCCATTTAAGACAGTCTATTTTATCCAGTAATCTACCTTAATTTTCCACCACCTGGATCTCTGTTCTTCTGTGTTTACCTTTTTTTCACATTGTAATTGTTTTGATCGTAGACTGACCTCCCAGATCCTCTGTTCTTATAATTTTATTCTGTTCTTGACTCTTCCATTTGTCAACTGAGTTCAGGTTGATGCTGCCATGTACGTCATTCTGTAGTTGTTGTGTGTTCTTGTTGGTTCTCAGTCCACAGAACTCCCTTTAGGATGTTTTTCATAGCAGGGTTTATTCTTCTCTTTCAACATTGCTTTAGCTATTCAGGCCCTTTTTGCCATTTCGTATAAAGTTGGTTGGGTGTTGGTTTTTCATTTCTGTAAAGAAGGCTGATGGGATTTTTATTGGGATTGTGTTGAATATATAAATCACTTTGGGTAGGATTAACAACCTAAAAGTATTAAAGTCTTCCAATCCATGAGCAAAGAACATCTTTCCATTTATTTAAGTCTATTTCAATAGTGTTTTAAAATTTTCATTGAAAATTAATTAACTTTTCATATGTCTTCTAATCATTCAGTTTTTCTTCACTCCTCATATCAAATTGATTTCTAAGGTCCACAGACATTTTTCTCTTCTAACTCGAGTCTGGTCATTATATTGTCACTTCCAACTTTTTATGTAAAACAGAGGTCAGCTGAATTTTCCTTTTCTGAACCTGGCTTGAATTTCTGGCAGTCCCCTGTTGTTGTACTGCTGCAACCGTTTTTTGAATTATCTTCAGCACAAATGTTCATGGGTAGAATATTTTCGATAATTTCCACATTCTGTAGAGTCACCTTTTTTTGGATTGGGTACAAATTTGGATCTCTTCCAACTGGTTGGCAAGGTAGCTGTCTTCCCAGTTTCTTGGCTTAAGTGAGTGTGCTCCTCTAGCATAGTACATCATTTTGGGGAAACATTTCAATTTGTTTTCTGTCAATTCTGGGAGCCCATGCTTTCAGTACTGCTTGGACTTCTTCCTTCAATACCATTGGTTCAGATGTCATCAGACTGTTTTTTGTTTGTTTGTTTGTTTTTAAGTTTTTATTGTGAATTGAATGGTAGTTTACATGGGAGAACATCGGTTTTACAATCATCATTTTATTGCGATGATTACAATCTCCTCTGTGCATTATCATTCAACAGTAGTTTCTTCTAGTCCCTCTTGTGTGTTTTTTAAATACCATTGGTTCTTGACCATGTGCTACCTGTTGAAATGATTGAACATTGATCACTTCTGTTTGGAACAGTGGCTGTGTCTTCCTATCAACTTCTGATGCTTCCTTCACCGTTAGATATTTGCCCATAGAATCCTTCAATATTGCAA